CCACCTACTTCCTGCCTGGCCACTGGCCAATCAGTGTTTTATTTATTGACCAATCAGAGCAATTTGACATACAGACCGTCCCACAGCACTGGGATTAAAGGCATGCACCACCACCGCCTGGCTTCTAGTTCTAATTTTTAAATTTTTATTTTGAGATAGGATTTCACTGTGTAGCCCTGGCTGGCCTAGAATTCACTATGTAGACCAGGCAGGCCTCAAACTCCCAGAGAACCACCTGTCTCTGCCTCCCCAATGCTGGGATTAAAGGCCAGAGCCACCTTTTTAATTTTTTGTAGAATTTCCAGTTTTCTATAGTGGTTGCACCAGTTTACCTTTCTGCCAGTAGTTTATAATGGTCCTCCATTTCCATATCCTTGCCAACATCTGTTGTCTATTTGTTCATTTTTGAGGCAGGGTCTTACTATACGTAGCCCAGGCTGGCCTTCAACTTATTGTATCACTCTGGCTCCCCTCAAACTCAGGGTCTTCCTGTTTTACCTGCCAAGTGCTGGGATTACAGGTGTGTGTCATCATGCCAGGCTTCTTTGGTTTTCTGATAGTAGCCATCTGACCTAGATACTTTTCTATTGCTGTGAAGAGACACCAAGGCAACTTATAAAATGAAGCATTCAGTTGGGGTTCTGCTTAACAGAGAGTCAGTCCATGACCATCAAGGGAGGAAGTACAGCAGCAAGCAGGCAGGCATGGTGCCGGAGAAGTACCTGAGGGATTACATCTGATCCACAAGCAGGAGGCAGAGAGAGTTAACCAGGAATGACATGAGCTTCTGAGACCTCAAAGCCCACTCCCCAGGGTCACACTTCCTCCAACAAGGACACACCACCTAATCCTTCCCAAACAGTTCCACCAGCTGGGGACCAAGCATTCAAACATATGACCCTATGTGGGCCATTCTCATTCAAACCACCACAACCATCTTAGGAGGTATGCAGTGGTCTCTCATATGCTTTGCTCTGCATTTCTCTGATTAGTGACACTGTACTTTTTCACATATTTGTTGGCCATGTGTATTTCTTCTTTTAAGAACCATCTATTCAGATGTTTTGCCTTTTTTTTTTCAGTGCTAGGGATTGAACACTGGACCTCAAAGGTGCACACTACCACCGAGCTCCAACACAGTCTATCTGTGCTGTTGAGCTGCAAGGGATCCCTACACATTTTAGATATTAATTCCTTATATTTGTTCTACAGACATTCTCTCACATCCCATAGGTACATTTTCATTTTGTGTTTCCTTTGCTATATAGAAGCTTTTTCCCCCTCTTCTAAGATAGGGTTTCTCTGTGTAACCCTGACTGTCCTAGAACTAGTCCTGTTGGCCAGGGTGGCCTTGAACTCACAGAAATCCTCCTCGAACTCACAGAGATCCTCCTCTGTCTGCCTCCCAAGCACTGGGATTAAAGGAATGTGCCACCACTACCCAGCAATATAGAAGCTTTTTATTCTGACCTCATCCTGTCTACTTTAGATTTTCCCACCTTTGCTTTTAATGTCACATCTAAAAAAGCCAGTGCCCAGTCCAGTATCATGAAACGTAGTATCTTCTAAGAGGTTTATGTGAGGCCTACTTGTACATTTAATTTTTAATTCATTTTGTGTTGTTTTTTGAAATAAAGGGTTCACTTTCATTCTTTTGCATGTGTATCCAGTGTGCCAACACCATTTATGTTGTGATTTTTCACCTTCAGTTTTTAGCAGTATTTTATATAGAGACAGCATACACACACCTCACTTAACGATTTGGGGATTGATTTTACTGCTCAAGGAATTCAGGATGTTGGGGACTAATGGCATAAAACCATAGGGACTTCTGGTTGAAAGGGACTAGGGTGTCTTACCCAAATCCACCTCGCTTGTCTGCAGCATGTCTGACAGAGGGATGTCACCGAAAGCCCCGCCCACCAGTTTGCCAATTGTGTCCTCTGATTTTTATGGGCTCTCTAATCCGCTTCCACTTCCTGGGACAGTCGGTCTGTTTACTTCACTTCTTGCTTTTAGTCATCATTGACCTTTATCCTGGAGAGAGAGTAACATTTGTACTAATGTATTTGTGTGTGAACATATGTGGAAATCAGAGACAGGATGTGGGAGTCTGTCCTCTCAGTCCGAGGGACCAAGCTCAGGTCGTCAGGCTTGACAGCAAATGCCTTTACCTGCTGAGCGTCTCTCTGAGCCTGTAGCTGCTTTTTGTGTTTGTTTGGTTGTTTTTTGTTTGTTTTGTTTTTCGAGACAGGGTTTCTCTGTGTAGCTTTTCGCCTTTCCTGGATCTCACTCTGTAGCCCAGGCTGGGCTCGAACTCACAGAGATCCGCCTGCCTCTGCCTCCCGAGTGCTGGGATTAAAGGTGTGCACCACCACTGCCTGGCCTGTAGCTGCTTTTTAATTGAAAGAGTTATACAACTGATGCAGACACAATTAATTATAACTTACCACTTAGTATTTTAGTATCTATACTTTAGAATTTTATGTGTATGTACACTGGGAACTGAAAAACAGGCTTAACAAATGCTATTAGTCTTGTACAAATAGGATTTTTTAAATTTATCTTTTTTTAAAAGAACTATTTAAAAATATATTTAATTCTCTATTGTGTTTCCAAACAATATCTAGAACTGATTTTAACCTAACCCATCAATACCAGGTGTTACCATTTAAGGAAACATAGTTTTGTATGCATTGTTTCACATTTGGCCTAGTATTTTAGATTTTACAGTTCCTAATTCTCCTCCCCCCACCCCCTTACCCCCGCGCCTCTTGTCTTTCAGATCCAGGTGAACCGGAGAGAGCTAGAAGCAGCTGCCTGGTTCAGTCTTGACGAGGTGGCCACAGCCCTCAAGAGAAAGGGCTTCTTTAGTCAGCAGCAGCAGAGTGACACTGTCCCATTGATGCTGCCGCCCAAGTTAGCCATTGCCCACCACATGATTAAGAGCTGGGTGGAAACACAGACCTGTTCTTCCCTGGCTGCTTAGCTCCAATCAAGCTGTCTAGACCCCTCCCCGGCGTTGCTGAAGGGCATGCCAGAGATCTGCCACAAGAGGAGGTGGCAAAGCCAGCTCCAGGGCAGTCTCCTAAGGCAGAGGCGCTCTGGGAAGTTCCTGTCGCCAAAAGAGGTTCCCAGTACCGGACCACCAAAAATGTCAGTGTTACCGGATAGAGCAGCTTGTCCTAGCTACTTTGGAGGCTGAGGCAAGAGCATCACTTTCTCCCAGGACAACGTGGGAAACACATCGAGACTCTGTCTCTTTGACAAAACAAAACAAAAACTCTAAGGAAAAAAGTTGATTGATGAGATGCTAACCACGAAACGCCGAGGGGAAAGTGCTGATTCGTGTGGACGGAGGCCATTTCTCCAAGGCTGTAGGAGCAAACATCTTCTGGCACCTGGCCCATGGATGCTGCATTTACAGGAACTGCCAAATGTGCCTGGAGTAATTTATCTTAGTGTCTACACTATTAACAAATCTCATTTCATACTTATCATTATCATTTCATTTCATTTATCATTTCATACAACCTAACAAACCTTTTTTGTGACAAACCTAACAAACAAACCTTTTTTTAAATTTTTTTTTATTTTTTATTTTTGAAACAAACAAACAAACAAACAAACCTAACTCACATTTGAGTTGCTTCTGTCCTCAAAGAAAAATAGCATAGTATTATATTTTTGAAATTGTGTGTAGGTGTATTCTTTTTTAAATTTTATTATTATAAGTGTTTGCCTGCATGTCTGTCTTTGCACAGCATGCATGCCTAGTTCCTGTGGAGGCCAGAAGAGGGCGTCGGATCCCCTGGAACTGGAGTTACAGACTGTGGTGAGCTGCCGTGTGGGTGCTGGGACTCAAACTTGGGTCTTCTGGAAGACAGCCACTATAGGTATCTTCTTATATGTGGTAGTTAAAGTTGACTGTTTAGTAGTTGTTGCTAGAGCTTGAACCCAGGGCCTTATACATGGCAGGCAACTGCTGTACCATGGAGGCACATCCTCAGCTCCAAAATTATGGTTTTGTTTTTGTTTTTAAGCTCTGAAGGGCCGAGGAAAGTGGGAGCAAAGGTCTTCCTCAGCATACTCTACAGAGGCAGTGGTTTTTGAAGTAGCTAAATTCCAGAGGGGCTGGAGATGATTCAAAAGACTAAGTTGTCATTCTGGCTCTTTCACTTGCTCAGTTTGTGACCAGGGAAGAGACTAAACATAAAGCAGTACTGGTCTGCACACCCAGAGAGTGCTGCTTCAACTAAGGGAACGTCGAGGCTAAGCAAACACCAGGCCTGAAGCTGGAGTCACACACGCCCCGTCCACGGTGCTAGAGGCTGAACTCTCACACCAAGGCAAGCCTGTCACTGAGCTGTACCCCGGCCCCTGTGTCCTCTGTGTCTTGTAAGAAAGAAGACCCTGGAGGAAATCAATTTTCATGCCTTTATTCAGACTTATTTTTTTTTTCTGTTCTATGGCTCAAATTTTAGAAAATGAAAATGGGTGGGGACGGGAAAGCTCTTGGTGTGACGGTAAGATGTGTAAGTCTCGAGGCCCAGGCTGTGGCACAGCTGGGAAATGTGCAGAAGACACCATCAGAGGGACGGTTGGAAAGAGTGGCCGGGGCAATCCTAGCTTCAGATACCTGCACTGACTGAAGACTAGAAGACAAAAGACCCCAACAGCCCTAAGCTTACCCACACATTAGTGAAGCGTTTATCTAAGTATTCTTTGTCAAAAAAAACAAAACAAAAAAAAAAAAAAACAGGAGTAAGATATCTCGGTAAGAACTTGAATGATCAGAGAAGCCACCAATGACCTCCTATCTCTCCTGTTCCTCCATCCAAAAGGCCAAGATTCTCTCTCAGCCCCATCTTACTACTTCCTATCTATCTGTCCTCAGTCCTCCAAAACCTCTATGGTTAATTTGGTCAACCAGTGCCTAGCTCCACCCTCTGACTCAGAGCAAACTTTATTGTCAGAATGCAATCAAAATATCATACATTTCCCCCTTTTTGTCTAAATAAAAAGGGAAGGTTTTAACTAACATAATAAAATTATATACCATAAGAACAATTCAGTTAAGAATTACATTCACGGCTGGGTGGTGGTGGCAGAGCCAGGTGTATCTCTGTGAGTTTGAGGCCAGCCTGGTCTATAGAGCAAGATCCAGGACAGGCCCAAAGCCACACAGAGAAACCCTGTCTCAAAAAAAACTAAAAAAAGAAAGAAAGAAAGAAAGAAAGAAAGAAAGAAAGAAAGAAAGAAAGAAAGAAAGAAAGAAAGAAAGAGAAAAAAGAATTAGATTCACAATGTCCAGTCCATTTGCATTTGACAAATTCAGAGAAATACTCCATTATCTATCCTTTCTTGGTGAATCTAAAGCTTTCTACCTTATTCACTTTCTGTCCTAACTTGTATTACCAACTCAAAACTATCCTTTTATATCTCTCAACTTTATACACCTTACACCTCTTTTGTGAGTTTCTTTTCTGAATTTGGTAACAAGAAAACTATATCTAGTCTTCAACTCCATCAGAGACCCAAGAAGGACATAATATTACCTTAGTAAACAGGAAATGTAGAGCAAACAACTTCCAAAACTAAGAAATGGCAGAAATAGCTGGACAGTCACCCAATGTTCCTCTGTATCATTGGGGCATCCATCTTCAGCCTACAGGCCTAGAATATCTGACAGACATTTCTGTGAAGCAGGAATTTTAAAGGACTGTCCCGCCTTGTCTTGGCAAAGTTCAGCAGTCACTTTTTTTTTTGTGTCCTACTGGTCCAATTTGGGCAACATACTATCAGCAGTTGAGGCAAGGGTAGTTTCTTGCCCAGTGGCTAACTTTTGCCACAAAGAAAGCAAATTCCATATGGAGTTTCTCATCTTCTCTCAAGTAGATTGGTGCTGCCAGGAGCAGACTTATCTCATTGTCATAAAAAGCCTTATATTATTAATACATCTTAAATGCCATATTCTGTAGATCTCCGGAAGTGTTTGAAGACCACCTGTTTATCTAAAATATATCTCTGTTTGACCTTCAAAACATATCTAATGTGACTTCAAGTTTGATTATAATAGGTAACTAACTACCAACCTGTATTAATAACTTTCAAGGACTAGAAATTTACATTACATTGTTAAATGAGCTACACAGGTACAATAGCTTAAACAAGAGTAGAAACATGTATAGTATGTTCTAACAAAAATAACCTTAAATTTGAATCAATGATGTCAGGGACCAAACATGAACCATGGAAAAGTACTAGCTAGGCCAGAGAAAAAGCCACAGACCCTAAACCAGATGTCCCCAAAGATAGAGAACAGGTCAGGTAGGTCAGGTAGCATAGCAACAGAACAATGGGCCCTGACCACTTAGTCTCACGACTTGCACGTCCCCCTTCACCTGTATGTACGGCACATCATGCACTCCTTCCCTCCTTCCTGCCCCCTCCCCTTCCCATGCTATATAAGCCTTGCTGAGGAGAATAAAATTTGCAGCTTGATCAGAACCCTGTCTTGCTGTCTTCTCTCGTGTCTCCCCGTCCCTTTCATTCTCTCCCGCAGGTGGGTCACCCCCGTTGAGACCCCGCTGGCCGGGGCACAATATGCAAAAATATCTTAAACAAGAGTAGAAACATATATACAATATAACAAAAATAATCTCTATACAATATACAAAAATCCATACCAATGTAAAACAATTAAGACTAGTTGCTTTTTTTGGTTTAAAAGTAGATTTAATAATCTACCCTTTTATCCTATCATTTCTGTATCCCCCCTTTTTCTTTTTAGAACAAGATCCCTGAATTTGCTCTTTGTTCAGCTTTTTTTCCTGACCGCTATCAATAACAACTTGTAACCAACCCCCATCAACAATGACAAATATCCATAACCCGCTGAATGACCAGAAACCACCCACTCCACCTCTTGGTAATGTGGGTGTCGAGTTCTTAAAATTACTTCCTATTGTCTGGTGGCAGGGGCAGTGATGGCATCTCTAGGGGACCCTGAGAAAATTGAGACAATAGTTAAGTCCTAGGAGAGCTAGCTGTATCATTTGTTGCTGGTCTCTGTGTAATGGGAAAGTGCATGCCTGGTCCTAGCTGGAGTAGTGCACGAGGCTGGATCATCTCAGCTAGCATCTTGACATTGTCCTGAGCAGTTTATAGTCTAAAGCCGATCTTTGGGTGGTATTTGTCAGCTTAGTGGCATCACCACAATCCAGGTGGAACCGTTGTTGTGGGACCTCATCATCCTGTTGGAGACCTTCAAAGGTCACTGTTTGGAATGGTCACGATTCACTGCAGAAAACTTAAGCATTTTAAATGTCATACGCAGCAGATCTTGGAGAGGTTAAAAGACCATAATTAGTTGTACATCTGGAGTACACAAACTTAATTCTTAGTTACCTGATTCAGACTCAAGCCCAAAATCATGTATAAGAAGCTAGATTAAGCCCTTTTCTAAAATTAGTACTCTCTTTGACCATTAATATCATGACAGGACACCTATAAATTTTGAAATAATATTTATACCTTAGGAAAAGTTTTAAAGAATCAAAATAAAACCAAAGAATTGTGATATACCAATAGCCCTATTTCTTTTTTTTTTTTTTTTTTTTTTTTTTGGTTTTTCGAGACAGGATTTCTCTGTGTAGCTTTTTGCCTTTCCTGAATCTCGCTCTGTATACAAGGCTGGCCTCGAACTCACAAAGATCCGCCTGCCTCTGCCTCCAGAGTGCTGGGATTAAAGGCGTGTGCCACTACCGCCCGGCCAATTTACTCTTTTTTTTGGGATATTTTCTCTGGATAATTCATCCTTTTTCTTCAGATGTCTTGTTTGTCCAGTGGTTTTCAGATTCCTTAGCGGGTTGCCTTCATTCTCCTGGAAAGACAAAAACAAAACCCTGCCCCAACCCTAACTTTGCAGAGTTTCCTTTTTGGCAGGTTATATCTGACCAAATGGAAGGCATTTGTTAGTCTTATAAGTTAGTTTAGATTGGTCATGCTATTTGATGAACTATCACCTCTTCTACACAAGTGGTCTCTCCTGTCCAACTCTAATCTTATCAATTTTGGTGGTATCCATAGCTTTTCTTCTCCTGAAAAACAAAAGCAAAACCTCATCTCCAATGTAACACATTTTAGAAATCACTTCTTCTATCCAAGGATCATCATAAGTGTGAGATCCAATATCAGCTGCATTTCTAATCCATTCATCTAGGGATGCTGATCTTGCAGCATTTTCAAAAGCCAAAGATTAAATTAATATTTGTCTTACCTTCTGGATCTTGTATCATTCTATTTATAACCAAAGCCAATCATTGTAAAAAAAAAAAATCAGTGAAGGCTTGTTTGGGACCTTGTATAATTTTAGTAAATGGCTCAGTCCTCTTTCCTGAGTCTTCAATCTTGTCCCAAGCATTCAAAGCTGCCTGCCATACAGTGTAGGGCAAAGATGTGATCATCAAATGTAATTTGTATCCAACATCAGCATAATGGCCCTCACCCAGGATTTGATCTTGGGAAATCTCATAAGCTCTAGCCCTACCTCATTGTTCGATGATCCTAGGTTCGTCTCTCCACCAGGTTCTCCACTGTAACTGAGGACCAGCTTCCAATATTGATGGAACTAAATCTTTCCAATTCTGAAGAATAATTCTGTTCTGAGTGGCCCATGAATTTAACATCTGCTTCACAAAAGGTGAATGCATATCATACAAAACTATTGCTTCCTTAAATCTCTTCAAATCTAACATTTCTATAGGATCCCAGTTAACTTTTGAATAGCCTTGGAGATGCCTATTATCTGGTGGTCATTCTTGAATGGTAACTGGATAGATTAAGGTTGGTTTTCTAATAACCTTGAGCCACTCCTCTTCAGTTTCATAACGCAATAGTGTGGTAACTTCTGCTCCATACTCCTGTGTGTCTGTGAGTATTTTTCTTAGTTTCATTAGTCTGTCTAAGGATTTTATTCATCTTTATCAGTCAATTTTTTTTATTTGGCACTGATATCCAACAATTTTTTAGGGATAAAACAAGAACTGCCAAAATGATTAAAATGATAATGATTATAGTTGACATTATGTCAATCCCAGCTAAGTTCCATTTTCAAATCAACCATTGTGGAACTATACAGAAACCTAACTCCCTATATCATAATCTCTCATTTTTAATGTGGGGAAACACTTTTTTTTTTTTAAGAAAAAAAAAAAAACTAATCCCCCCCTTTAAGAATTCCCAGTTGTCAGCCGGGTGGTGGTGGCGCACACCTTTAATCCCAGCACTCGGGAGGTAGAGGCAGGCAGATCTCTCTGAGTTTGAGGTCAGCCTGGGCTACCAAGTGAGTTCCAGGAAAGGCGCAAAGCTACACAGAGAAACCCTGTCTCGAAAAACAAAAAAAAAAAAAAAAAGAATTCCCAGTTGTCAAGCCAGGCGGGGGTGGCACATGCCTTTAATCCCAGCACTTGGGAGGCAGTTAGGTGGATCTGATGACGACAGTGAAGTGTGAGACTGTTTGTTGCTGGGTAGCAGGGCTGGACAGAGGACACAGGTGATGCACAGCCTGGGTGAGGGCAGCTGCAGGTGCCCGAGTGTCGCTGTGAGCTGAGTGTGTGGTAATTGCAGCAATAGAAGCCTGAGCAGGTGTCGAGGCAGCTAACCTGGTACAGCAACAGCCCGAAGAGGGACTAGAGGAAGCCTGCAACCCAAGGGAGAAGGAGCCAGCTGTCTGGAAGTCAGACACAGGAACATACGGAGAAACGTACGGCGGGAGCTGCCGGGAAGCAGAGCCAGTCAGTTGCTGGTGGCTAACTCTGGAGTTTGGGCAGAGCTGGAGACGGCTGTAGAGAGGCTGCAACAGGAAAATCCCAGCCTTGCTCAGAGGGCTTGGGCAAGAAAGGAAAAGCCAGCCAGCAGCACAGTGGGTCCAGCCGGGGTGAACGAGCGACTATCTCGTAATTTCGTGCCCCAAGTTGGATGCCAGGTGAAGCATTATTAATGCTTTTATATTAATGTTAATTATTCTTTATCAATAAAAAATTGGGAGTCAGATATCAGAGTACGAACCTGAGTGATCAGAGAAGCCACCAGTGACCTATCTCTTCTGTTCCTCCATCCAAAAGGCCAAGATTCTCTCAGCCCCGCCTTACTACTTCCTGTCTGTCCTCAGTCCTCCAAAACCTCTACGGTTACTTTTGGTCAGCTAGTGACTAGCTCTGCCCTCTGACTCAAAGCCAACTTTGTCAGAATGCAATCAAAATATCACACAACACATTAGAGCCCCATAGCACTAGGCAAAAGATTCCAGAAGTGACAAAGTTGAAGCTCTGAATTTCCTTTTGACATCAAAAGGTCACTTCTGGGAAAACCCAAGTACCTTCCTCTGAGTTCTTGAAAGATAGTATGTGCCTGGGCCTAATTTGGCAGCTGAATGAATCAGTGGAAAGCACTTGAAGCACAAGATGAATCAGTGGAAAGCACTTGACAAAGGAACCTGAGATTTCTTCACACCCTGCAGTCAGAAACAGTTCAGGGTCTGTGTGCATTACTGGCTGCCCACTCCATGAAGCCGGTAAGATTGTAGGAGTGCTCAGGGTTCCTGCTTAACTTTTTGCTTTTTGATGAACCTGGGTCTTTTTGGATTGTTTGTTTGTTTTGGAAAAGATGGGAGAAGCCAATAGGAGAAACTGCAACATCGAACTTCATTTTCCCAGCACGAGTTGGGTAGAGGGCCTTGCTACATACAGAACTCCAAGGTTATCTGGAAGATAGGGCTGGGATACTGAAAATGGCAGGTAAGTGGGCCTAGGGTGTGTGTGCATGCACACGCACACATATGCAAACACACAACAACAGATTATAGAAGTGCTAAGGATACAGTGGCAAACAGCTGGGGCTATGAGGCAGAGTAGCAAAAACAAGCAAAACCTTTTAACAAATGTATTTGCCACCAGAGGAAGTCTGGTCAGTCATCCTTGGTAATGGGAATAGAAAAGCATCCCACTGGTGCCCTAGTTTTATGTTTTCCCTTCCCTCAGCATTTAGTCATCAATGAGGATGTAATTAGCATACATAAATGCATTGTGGGAGAGCCTTTTTCTTTTCTTTTTTTAGATTATTTATTACAGTGTTCTGTCCGCATGTACACCTGCAGGCCAGAAGAGGGCACCAGATCTCTTTACAGATGGTTGTGAGCCACCATGTGGTTGCTGGGAATTGAACTCAGGACCTCCGGAAGAGCAGTCAGTGCTCTTAACCTCTGAGCCATCTCTCCATAAACCTTCTTCTCATAACCAAGCTGGGACAGGACCCTAATGTGGGGACTGAATTTCAAAACAAACTATAAGGATGTACTTACTCTTTTTGGTTTTTTTTAAATTTATTAACATTTAAAATTATTTAATATGCTAAAATGCTTCCTAATTAAAAAACATTTATCTGATACTTCTGTATATGTCTATGTGTGCATTCAGGCAGACGTGTGTTCATGTGTGGAAGCAGAGGTCAATATCTACGTGGCTTTTTGAGGAAAGGTCTCACTGGCCTGGAGCTTGGTAATTAGATGAGGCTAGCTGGCCAGCACACTATGGATAAATGCAGGGCTATGATTACAAGCATTTGCCAGCAGGCCTGGCTTTTCCAGGTGGATTCTGGGAACGGAAAGGTGTGGCAAGCATTTTATTGACAGGGCTCTCCACCCCGCCTGATGATTTTCTTTTTAATTAATCATTTATAATCATTTATAGTTTATGTGTGTGTTTTTTGTGTACACACACACACACACACACACACACACACACACACACACACACTACATGCATGCAGTGCCCACGGAGGCCAGAAGAGGGCATCAAGACATTTTGGAACTGGAGTTACAGGTGGTTGTGAGCCCCCACGTGGGTGCTGGAAATGGAACCCCAGTCCTCTGTATGCTAATGCTTTTAATTTGTTACTTAAAAAATAAGTTATCTTGAATTAGGAACACATGTGCAAAATGTCACAGAATGGACACTTTAAAGTTCAGCACTTAAAAAGTAAATGAAAAGGGATTTTGCCAACTTAGAATTCTGACTGAGGAGGAAAATACCTAAGAGAGAAACTAAATATTCAGAATTACATCAGGGTACATTGTGTTTTACTAAACTACAAGGGAGGCTTGGGTGTAGATGTAACCAACCGTCTTATTAAATAAGAAACACAGAACCAATGTAAAAGAGAAAGCCAAGAGATCAGAGCTCAGAGCTAAAATCTCACCCTTCCTCCTGCAGTGGTCCCAGCTTCCCGAAAGAGAGCTATTTCCCTGTGTGTAAGTTGTTTCATAGTCATTCTGCCTTCTCATTGGTTGTAAACCCAAACACGTGACTGCCTCGTCACTGTCTGAATGTACAGCCCCCCAGGTCTTAAAGGCATATGTCTCCAATACTGGCTGTATCCCTGAACACACAGAGATCTATGGGGTTAAAGGCATGTGCTACCACCACCACGCTCTTTCTATGGCTCTAATAGCTCTGACCCCCGGGCAACTTTATTTATTAACATACAATCAAAATCACATTTCAGTACAATTAGAATACCACCACACTTGGGTCTTAGGAAAATTTAAACCAAACGAAACAAGCTCATGAGATCACAGGACTTGTGAGAGGTGGTACTGGGACTCTGAAAACCTGCAAGGAAGACACTCTTAGGAAGAGCCGACTGGACCACTGTTTAGTCAGTGAGGATTTATTGTGGATTCAGCTGATGTGCAGGCTAACCCTTCACTGGCTTCCTGGCGGGTTGTGATCAGTATTGTCAGGGAGTCGTACACCCATGCTGTGCAAAAGGTTGGAAGCAGGCCCTGCCAGCCCAGCTTGGGAGCTGTAGGATTCCAGGATATTTGAAACCAGGTTCAGGTCTACATCCACCGATTCGACAACGCAATCTCCTGCACCTGAGTCTTCCTCATCTGAATTGTCATTTGCAGTCTGGGAAGGAGTTTCCTTCTTCTAGAGAGAGGAAGAGAGAGGTAAGATACAACATGAGATAGTAGCCCTTTAGTTGGATATTGGTTACAGTAAACTTAGCATTCCAAATTAAAAATATATTTTCCAATCCTTGGTGACATAAAGTGAAAATGAGCTCTAATAATGTGATTTGATACACATGTTAACACTTGGTTCTATCAGGTGTGGTGGTGGCACAAGCCTGTAATACCAGCAGCACTTGAGAGGTGGAAGCCAGAGGATCAGAAGTTCAAGGTCATCCTCAGCTACACAGGGAGCTTGAGGACAATCTGGACTAGAGATCCGTCTTAAAAGAAGCTTGGTTCTAAAGAATAAGACACATTTCGATCTCAAGAGTTCCTACAAACTGAACATGTCTGTCCCGCTTTGAAATAACCCCAAAGAGATCGCTAGCATTAAAGAAGTACACTCAGAGCCTGCATTAATATCTACACATTAGGGCTGGAGAGATGGCTCAGAGGTTAAGAGCACTGACTGCTCTTCCAGAGGTTCCTGAGTTCAATTCCCGGCAACCACATGATGGCTCACAAACATCTGTAATGAGATCTGGTGCCCTCTTATCTCACAGGCTGGGGGAAATGATTGGAAAAAACTGCACCTCGACCTATAGACCTTTATATCTGTGTTACACAGACTGTGGTCCACAGACGACAGCAATTTTCAGCTCTTTGTCCATTTGGCTTAATAATGGCCGTTATTGCCTGGTATGGTGGTGTATGCCTTTAAACTGATCTCTGTGATTTCAAGGCCAGCCTGGAAACAGAGTGAGTTCTACAACAGCCAGGGCTGGAACAGTGAAACCCTGTCTCAAAAACAAACCAACAAAAAGGCACTTTTTATTACAAGATCCTTGGGTGATATTTACTTACAATTAAATCTTTTCTATTTCTATAAATTAAATAATTTCTATTAGGTTGAAAGTGATTATAGTTTTAAATGTGGTTTAGATGGTGCAAACACCTGTTACTCACTCTAAGGGAGTTAATGCCCTGTTCTCACTTCAGCCCATGCACAGTAATCACAGTGATGTGCACTTGCATACATGTGTGCATACACACACACACTCACAATATAAATCTAAGAAATGAAATGGAAATGGCTTAGAGGTTAGCAACACTTGCTGATCTAGAGGACCCACATGACAGCTCACAACTGTATGTAACTCCAATCCCATCTGTAACTTCAGTCCCAAAAGATCTGGTGTCCTCTTCTGGCCTCCAAAGCACCAAGCATGCACATGGTATACAGACATACATGCACACAAAACACCCACAGATATGTTTTAGGTAAGAATTATTTATTTTATGTATAAGAATGTTTTGCTTGCATGTATGTATATACACCAAGTGCATGCCTGATGCCCTTAGAGGTCAGAAGATGGCATCAGCTGAACCCAGGTCCTCTGCAAGAGCAGCAAGTTCTCTAAATGGCTGAGCCATCTCTCCAGTCCCCTAAGCCCTTTAAGAATATAATTATAGCTGGGCGGTGGTAGCACACGCCTTTAATCCCAGCACTCGGGATGCAGAGGCAGGTGGATCTCTGAGTTCGAGGCCAGCCTGGTTTACAAAGTGAGTTCCAGGGCAGTCAGACTACACAGAGAAACTCTGTCTCCAAAGACTAAAATGTATATATATATCTGTGTGTGTGTGTGTGTGTGTGTGTGTGTGTGTGTGTGTGTGTGTGTGTATAATTATAACCAGGCACGGTAGTCCATGCCTGCAGTCTCAGTTACTCAGAGGCTGAGGCAGGGGGATCACTTGAGTATAGGAGTTTAAAAACACTCTGAGCAACGCCCTGACGTGAAGGAAAGGAAGGGAATGGGACACAGAAGGGGAAGGAGAAGAAGCAGTCACGAACTTTGTATTCAGAAAATAAAGTTTATAGTCTGCCTTTTCCTTTTAGTGGTGAAAACTCAACCAAAGGCTTCATGCAGGTCAGACCCCTGCTCTACCACTGAACTACACTCTCAGCAGCTGCCCCTCTGTTACAGTCCCCATGGGCCTCAAACTCTTGGGCTTAAGTGAGCTTCCCTTCTCGGCCTCTTCAGTATCTGTGGGTTATAGGCACACGTCATTGTACCTGGCCCCTAGAACCTTTCATTATACCAGTGTTAGGGGGAAACTAGCGTGCTTGGGGCTGGGGTACAGCTTAGTGATGGACTGTGTGCTCAGCATGTACCCCAGGCCCTGGGGTCAATTCTGAGTATCAATCTGACAGCAATAAAATTAGCACTCATTCATTTCAAACCTCACAAATCAAAAGAAAAGAAAGGAAAACTCGGATGACATACGACTGTCACTCTCCTACACATGGAGAAGGAGAGGTTAAAAACTTACGGCTTGCTTCCGGGTACTGAAGCTTTTGCCCATGCTGGTGTGCGCCAGCTCCTGGTCCATCTGGGCCATGTAGGACTTGAGACTGCCAAGAGCTCCTTTCAGAGACTCAGAGTCCTGAGTTTCAAAGCCCAAGTCATCATCACTGTCTAAACATTCGAAGTCGTCTTCATCCATGTCATCAGAGTCTGACTCTTGAGGTTTTGCCCCTGTATTGACCGAGACACAGAAGGAAGTACTGGGTTACACCTCTCAAAAGGGCTGGAATGTTCCACAAGGACCAAATGAGTTAACCCAGCTACTTTGTAAAAATCCTTTCCCAAAACAATGATTCGGGGAGGCTCTTGTAGGACCAGGAACAGGCTGAGCCAAGAGATTCAACTTCAGCTTTGTAAAGTGAATTTGATTAATTAAAACTTTTTTTTTAAAAAGATGAAGCCAGGCAGTGGTGGTGCACGCCTTTAGTCCACAGCACTTGGGAAGCAGAAGCAGGTGGATCTCTGTGACTTGGAGGCCAGCCTGGTCTACAGAGCGGGATCCAGAATAGCCAGGCTGTTACACAGGCTGTTTCGAGACAACAACCTTGTCTCGAAAAAAAAAAAACAAAATAAATGAATGAATGAATGAATGAATGAATGAATGAGTGAGTGAGATGGTTCCCAAGGATGGGTGCCTGTTGTACAACCTGATGATCTGTGTTAGATGCCCTAAGGAGAAGAAAACTACACCACAAAATTGTCCTGTCTGACCTTCACACTCATGCTGTACACACGCCACCCGCGCACACACACAATGCACACACACACACACACACACACACACACACACACACACACACACACACACAGACATACACACACATAGTAATAATAAGTATCTTTTAATTTAAAAACTGAGCTCAGTGGTAGAGAACTTGCCTAGCATGTATGAAACCCTGGGTTTGATCTCCAGCACCATAAAAAAAACAGATAAAAAATGGGGGCTGGAGAGATGGCTCAGAGGTTAAGAGCACTGCTACCTTGCTGAGAACCTGGGTTTGGTTCTCAGCACCCACAGGGCAGCTCACAACCATCTGGAACTCCAGTTCCAGGCTATCCAACACCCTCTTCTGGCCTCCTCAGGAACCAGGCACATACATGAGCCACATAAATACACATAAGCAAAAATACTCGTATATAAAATAAATCTTTTTAAATTACAGGTACAAATTTTTAAAAATTTAAAATTAGAAAACGACATAAATATACATTGATGTCAACATTCAGCTACAGACACTGTTTCCTAGCTCACTGCCTTCTCTGAGACCTCTTTAACATCTGGATGGTATCCAGATGTCAGATGTAATGGATACAGCTCTGTGCACAGGCATATGCAAATATGGAGATTTCTTTCAGTATAAGACTTATTTTCATTTGTGTGTGCATACATATGCCCATGTGTGTGCAGGAACCCACACGAGGCGGAAGAGGGCATCAGATCCCCTAGAGCTAGAGTTTTAGGAGGTTGTGAGCCGCCTGACATGGGTGCCCAGAACCAAATGCCAGTCCCTTGAAAGATCAACAAGAAAGCAGGTCCTCGGTTTTCTGTCTCTCTGTCTCTGTCTCTGTCTCTCTCTCTCTTTTGGTTTTTTGGTTTTGTTTTTTGAGACAGGGTTTCTTGGTGCAATAGCCCTAGCTGTCCTGGAACTCGCTCTGTAGCCCAGGCTGGCCTTGAACTCACAGAGATCCACCTGCCTCTGCCTCCTGAGTGCTGAGATTAAAGGCATGCACAACCACTGTCCAGCTTATGGTTTTCTTTCTTAACTTAGATGTGCTCACAGTGAACTATGGTCTGCTTTTCTACATACTATGTCTTGTAAAATACAAATATTTGCCTTCTTGAAAAATACACAGATGACTTCATACTTTGTTATGGCTGTGCAAATTCATAATACAGTGATTTATTTACCCATATCTCCCTTGGTGGTCATTAGAATTTTGGTGCTACAAAAAAACACTGAAATGACTATCTGTGAGCATTTATCTCTTTCATAGAGTAAATAATCCTTGAAGTGAAATTGCTAAGTCAAAAATAATGGGCTTTCTAGATTCTCAAAATGTCCTGTGAAAAGACAACTTAGACTTACTTCTCCCCAGAGTGGATGGTGCTCATTTCTCCAACCCTTTAAAATAGCTGATTAATTTTTTCTAAGGTGAGAAAAAAAATCATGCTTTTGTTTTTCATTTGCTTGCTTACTAGGAAGAGTTAACTATTTTCAAAGATTTACTGGTTACTCTTCAGTGCATAACCTGTTCATACCCTGTGTTTTTGTTTTGTGTGTGTGTGTGTGTGTGTGTGTGTGTGTGTGTGTGTGTGTGTGTGTGAGCACACGTGTGTGCCAGTGTGTCTGCATGTGTGTACACTGCGTGTTAGGGGTCTTCTTCTCTCACTCTTCACCTTGTACTTTGACACAGTCTCTCCATTGAACCTGGAGCTCCCGAGCAGGCTCTGGGGATCCGCCTATCAATTTCTGTCCCTTTAGTACTGGATTAGAGGCCTATGCATCCGTGCCTGGCTTTTTATGTGAGCGTGTGATCCGAACTCAGGTCCTCGTGCTCCTGTGCAGCAAGCACCTTCCTAACTGAGCCACACACCCCACCCCCAGACTTCTGGTGTTTCTTATTTTCTTATCGATTTCTAAAATAGTAAGTCTGAATGAAAAGACAGAAAATGTAACATGGAAGCCACATTAAAATCCTTTCAAAACGTAAAAGGTTTGTGCGCTCAGTCAGCAGCTGGCAAGTCAAACACTAAAGAGGCTGTCTCTGTAAAGTAATTCAACCAGGCAGTAATTTATGGTTGCCAACACCTGGAAACCATCAAAAGAAAGGAGTATTTTGCTCACACATGAGCCAATGTCCCAGTGCACTGAAAACAGTGGCAACCTTCACAGTTGTAAATAAGAGCAAACACCACACTGTGACTCACCTAAAATCTTATCAAAATAATTAAGAAAGGAGTCTGCATCAAAAGTGATTGGCGCTTCAGAAGGGTCTCTGGAAGATGAAAGGGAAAAGGCATGTAATTTATCCTGACCACAGTTCTTTGAGGCACGTTCTAAGAAGTACTGTGCTTGGAGAAACTACCAGAAATATCCAAGAAAGGAACAGCAAGGGAAATCACAGTTTAAATAAATAAATAATAATTCCTTGTGTTTATTTGGGTGGCAATAAAAACACAAAAATCTGGTGACAGAAAAGTAAATTTACACCTTGTTAACAGACATCTAAGCATATGCATCTGGTGACCTATCTGTTCTGTACTCCCTACAGGACACGTAGTAAAAGAAATGATTTATCTGAGTTCGCTTACATAATGCTTATTCTTTTTTTTTTCTAGAGATTTATTTATTTATTATGTATACAGCATGTATGACTGCAGGCCAGAAGAGGGCACCAGACCTTATTACAGATGGTTGTGAGCCACCATGTGGTTGCTGGGAATTGAACTCAGGACCTCCGGAAGAGCAGTCAGTGCTCTTAACCTCTGAGCCATCTCTCCAGCCCATAATGCTTATTCTTATAGGACTCCAAGCTTATACCTTTAACCCCAGCACTTGAGAGGGGCAGTCAGGAAGATCGTGACTTCATACGAGTTTAAGGCAGGAAAACAACAAAAGTCAAAGTTTAAAAAAATCATACCTTCCCTTTTTCTTTGCCTCTTAACAACAAATAACGTGCATAAACTTGTATCTTTTCTTACAGTTCAGGAATAGCAACACTGGCAAAGTTTCACTGGGCTGGGAAGGAGCTTAGCAAGGTGACTTGTTGGAGTGCACAGCCTCTAGTCAATGGTCTATAGCTCTGGGTCAATGGTGTCCACAGCCTCTAGTCAATGGTCTATAGCTCTGGGTCAATGGTGT